AATTTGGAGGAAGCCCAGCTAAATCTATCTCCGAGCACCTTGTAATTAAGAGTCAAGGACTGGCCCAGCTAACCCGGGCCTGGTAGTTACCCAGGTATCGTAGGCTCCCAGCCGGGGTCTGGTGGCTGGGATCTTCTTCCTCAGGCTGGAATTTATAAAGAAATGGTATTATGTTGAGCTGGAAATAAACATCTTTGTTTCTGACCAATGAGCCACAGGGCAGCTTTAAGGGCTCTGCTACTGTAAATCTTGAGATCTCCCAGGTGACGTATGAACGGGTCACTACTTTGCCTCTGGCCCCACCTGAATCCCATCTTCTCCCCCAGAGGAGCTTGGCTGACTTTGGGGGGTGGGATGGGGTGGGGTGGGGACATACCATGTGCCAGTAGCCCCACCATCTCATGCCTTTGCCATCCRTCTCCTGACCGCCCAGAAGGAAACCAGGGGTTGAACTCATGAGCTACAGCAGGTCAAGGTCGGGAGCCCAAGGTCACGTACCAAGGTCATGAGAAGTTTGCATTTTTTGTTGCTCTCATTTCTGATCATTGGAAACAAACTCTCTGAGTTTCTGGAAGGGAAGGGATTGGAGGAAGCCACATCCGATTCTGTTCTATTTTTTTGCCTTTTTTTTTTTTTCCGCTGCTTTTGCTTTGTTTTTCCACCCACCGGTTCTTTTCTTCCCCTCTCATAGTGTGGGCGAAATGCTGAGAACTTCGACCGGTTTTTCACCCGCCATCCACCCGTCCTTACACCTCCCGACCAGGAAGTCATCAGGAATATTGACCAGTCAGAATTCGAAGGATTTTCCTTTGTTAACTCTGAATTTTTAAAACCTGAAGTCAAGAGCTAAGTAGATGTGTAGACCTCCGTCCTTCATTTCTGTCATTCAAGCTCAACGGCTTTTATGGTGACATTTTTCTTTTTTTTTTTTCTTTTTTTTTCTTTCATTGCTGAGATACATCCATGTTTTGTTTTCTGATGAGGCCAGAGTGACCATGTTTTGGGACCCAAATGTCCTCAGGTAGTTTGGAGCATCTCGTGAGGACGAGATGGGATTATGCAGGTGGCAGGCAGAAATGGCCGCTGCATAATTGAGACAGACTCCAAGTCCTCTTCCAAGGTCTGTCCCSCAGCATGACAGCTGTGTCCACCCAGGGGGTGAGAGGAGATGCCTGCTTCCTCTGCCTCGTCTTTCTGCACTGCCATTTCTCACGCCAACCATCCGATCTAGAKTCTTCCTACAAAATGGGTAGGTGAGTCAGATGCCAGCAGTATTCTTCCATTTCCAGGTTTGGGGCTTGGCTTGTATCCAAATATATGATTGCTTTGCCCTAGAGGGAATCCCTCCATCCATGCGGCCTGTTCTGGAAGCAGCAGAGCTTTGAAAAGAACACGCTAAAAATAAAATTTCATTTAAAAAAAAAAAAAAAAAACCTCAAAGTTAAGAAGATTATCTGAGTCCTAAAATTTCAAGAATGTGCTTTTTTAGACCGTTTCAATCTAAAAGCACTTCCAGGGGTCAAAAGGCAAACCAGCTTTGGGTTCTACCTCCACGCTGTAATTCCTGGTACTGTGTGTCCCTGATCACCCTTATCCCCAAACTACTCCAAGAGGGCATTTGGCACTGTTCCCTGAAACAACATGGTCACTCTAGCAAACTCCTAACGGGGCCACCGTGGATTGACATTACATTTCAAACTTTATTTGCTTTTTGGGGTTTTATTTCTGTTGTTATTCAAATGCAAAAAAAAAAAAAGAAAAAAGTTACTCATGTTGTTCCACATGCTTTAAAATATGTGTCCAAATGTTGGGCACCACAATGACCTGCCTTGATTTAACCAGAAGACGGCTGTGGAGSCCAGCAGATTCAGGCTTGTGGGGAGGGGATCTAATCTAGGTCCCTCACTGGCTTTGGAACGCTGAGTGCTTCTGAGAAAGACACCATCTCTTCAAACAAAGGGGGAAACAAAACAACAACAACAAAAAAAAAAACAGTTGTATTCTTCCCTTTGATGTTGTTTTGCCAGATGTTTGTGGAAATGTTCATTTGTGTCTGGATTTCTGTTATGTGCCATTTTTCTTCTAGCGTCAAGATACAGTTAAAAAAAAAA